TCGTCGACAATGCACCGACACCGCCAACACTGATGATTATCTCTGTCAACGGATTAATGCATCGATCAGCACCGAAGGTGGCCTCTCGCAGATCCTCTGGGATTTCACCAGAAACACACGCGTTGTGACGGAACCGTTGGTTGTAGAGCTTGGCCAGGGCATTCACCAGACGCAGGTGTCCCTAACAACAGCAATGACATCGTCTACTACCTACATCTACTCTATGTACTTAATCAAGCCTCATTCACTAAAAACTAACTTGAGATCTGGCATACTGATGCAGTGACGGCGACACATTTTCATCGGCGACACGACGGAGGCTTTTCAGTATGTGATTGGTGGATATGAAGCCTGAAGAACCCAGGCCTAAGTTGATGGCCTTCTCTTTGTTAATGGCGTCATTCAATTCTTGCCATGCACTCGGTTTCAGGTTGAGAGTGCGTTCAGCTGGGCATATATTTGACATGCTTCGCAGATATCGGCTGCAAGTAGAGAAAGAAGCCAATTGGTGTGTGTTGACACTATTCTAAACGAGCCAAAATCACTTTACTCAGGTCATGTTCACTTAGTCCTATAGTTTTGTGTCAGTGATGCTTTAAGGCAGCCTCAAACACCAAATGCGTTTTCGTATCGCGACTGCAAAACATTCGTAGCGTGCGCGCGTATTCTAGGTGTCAATGACGATTTTTGGTTTCGAAGTTTTGCGTCTTCAGAGACGTGAAATATTGGCGAATCGCCATGGTGACCTGGAGGTTGCTGTAGGCCAGGATCGGAGTGTAGGTGTTCGGAAATTACTTTACCAACTTCAGAATGAATGTCCAAGTGCACTTAATTGAGTTCGTGTGCGAATTGATCTTTTCCAGTGGGTAGCGAGTTGGCGCACATAACGTTTACCGCATCTTTCCACTACGTCGACAGTAGACAGTTTGTTCACGAGTGTTGCAATGCAGCAGGCAATTGCCATGTCAAACACGACGACTAATCAGACTAGACCTGATTGTAGAAGCTCCATTCACGTGGCCGTGCAGTGCATCGCCTGAGCCAACAGTTGACCTTTACTGCACGAAACTCACCGGCAGTGTTTTGCATTAGTGCAGCACACAACGCCATCGGCATTGGCATTCCATGCCTCTAGAAGCAGCTTGCATGTGAACAAATTACGTCGTTTTATGCGTCTAAATGCTTGCTAACAGTTTGCCACACAAACCGTAAGGGGGCATCAAGATGAAAAGACAAGGACTCATCGGTTCCGTTGAAATTGCAGCTACATCCTACTGCGGCTCCTCTTTTATAGGAAGGCTGTTGAGAGGGCGTGGCAGCTCCATAAACAATGCATGGCACCACACACTATAACCAGAACATCTGTGATTTCAACTCTGACACGT